ACGTTTACAAAAATCTTAGCGCGAATCAAAGACTTTTTCGGCGCGGGCGCAAATATTGCCTTCGCACGTTCAAGCGAATAGAGAACGCAGTTAAGTGTGGTAGCTTTAGTAAGGTGCAGTTCAAACCTCGGACCGCAATCTATAAGCTACTAGTACTGATATTTTGTGGACTTACCACTAGACTTCGAACTTCAGCGATTTGTCGTCAGTCGTTACGCGTATTGTCTATGATGTTTCCTACTTGACCTGCATTTCAACGCACTGCCTTACTTATGAAACCTATCAATATAATCTAATGCCTCTCTCTGTTATTTTCTCAACCGCTGTCATCATTCTCTCGCTTTTCATCTTCCGCTAGCTGCCTTTGTCTTCGCATTCTTCCCCTTATCCTCTCTCTCTCTCTCTCCTCTCTCTCTCTCTCTCTCTCTCTCTTCTTCCTCTCTCGCTCTTTCTCTCTCTCTCTCTCTCTCTTCCTCTCTCTCTCTTTCTCTCTTTCGTTCTCTCTCTCTCTCTCTCTCTCTCTCTCTCTCTCTCTCTCTCTCTCTCTTCTCTCTCTCTCTCCCTTGTCTTCCCGCTTTCGGATTGTCGTTCTCTTCTTCTCTCTTTCTTTTCTCTTTCTCCTTCTCTCTCTCTCTGATCTCTTTCTCTCTCTCTTTCTCTCTCTCTCATCTCTCTCTCTCTCTCTTTCTCCTTTTCTCTCTCTCTTCTTCTCTCTCTCTCTTCTTGCCTCGCTCTCTCTCTCTCTTTCCTTTTTGAGCCGTATTAATTCAAGCCAACCATGTTGGCGTGGTGTGATAGAGACGATAACTGATGTCAGACACGGATGATTGCTCTAACAATATCACGCTCTTCAGTGCGGTTCATTGAGCTGCATGCGGCAGCAGGTGTCAGCGTCAACGTCCGTCGCACAGTGAGTTGTGTCGGCGGCCCCGGTCATGGGCTCGGTTGTTTTACTCGGCTACAATTCAAGTGTCTCTTCTTACAGTTGCATGTATAGCATCAACTTGCTGGCCACCAGCCAAAATATATATATATTTAGTATATATATATATTATATATATTATATATATATATATATATATATTGTATAGTATACTATAGCGAGAGCGATCGGAGATGGGCAAGATAGATAAATAGTAAATAGATAGGCAGAGAGGGGTGAGATGCGAGCGAAAGGAAGAGGGATATACAGACAGGCACACAGACAGACAGAGGAGGGAATTGCCCGTCTTGCACTTAAATCAGGAAGGCCGCTGCCGCTGCCGAGTACTGCATTTATCCGAGGCCTTGCCGTCGTTCGTGAAGGGAGGGAGCTGCGGACGTCTGTCGTGTTCTGGTTGTGCGTCTGGCCAGCCGATAATGAATGGTGATAATCGGAAGCGCCTTGGCCCACTTTTGCGAGCCACCATTACTAGTTGACAGAGTTCATTATGCTTGTTTGACATGCGACGAATACGTCTAGAGCCTTGTGCTCGACCGGCTGTTCATAAAAAAAAGCCGCGTTCTCATATTGAGCTACACGCGCGCGGAAGGTGTTATTGGCACGGCATTGCTGTGCCTGTGGTCTCCTCGGCGCCGACAAAACCTTTAGATTGAAATAGCACAAGGAAACATGAAAGCGCCGGAAACGAGGATGAATGGGAAAGACAGAGAGCACAATATGTAAGAAAGAAGTGAATGCTAAAAAGGAAGGGAGCAGTAGAGCGGTGTGTGGTGCGCATGGAGAATAGCATAGGGCAGAGAAGGACAAGAGACGGTGAGAGTGGGAGGCAAAAGAAAGGCCTTGCGCGACTGCGAAAGAGACAGATTCAGGATTATAATGGTCAAGAGAACTAGCGATAGTCCTATGACATATCTTTTGACATTCATTCCAAACGGTCGGTCGGTCGGTCGGTCGGTCGGTCGGTCGGTCGGTCGGTCGGTCGGTCGGTCGGTCGGTCGATCGGGCAAATCTGGTCTGTCAGTGCAGTCAGTTAGTCCATCTCGGGCAGCTGTAGATATTCCCACATTATCAAGGCACATAAATAATTATAATTATAGCACCAGTTTCTTCATATTATTTATGGTCATAGACTGGAACCATCGTCGGCAGTATAGGCACCGTATAGTTTCGTCCACAAATTCGAATCCGGGCTCACAGACGTGTCGTAAAATGTCAAAAAATATTCTGATGAGTGTAATGTATCGCTTGCTTAGCATCTCGCCATGCTTGACAATTCGATGATGATGTATTGTCATTCCTTTTAAACGCCTCCGTAGTGGGAGATAATTGCAGATTTTAACTATGCGCATATATTTTTGTTGCGATATATATATTATATATATATATATATATATATGCGTCTTATAATGAAGTTTATCATATTTACTTCCGAGATCATTTACATATGTCCTATATTTTTTAGAGCTAGACATGTCTCTGTTTGTTTCTCGTAATCCCGCTGCTTAAAAAAAACTGAATAATAAGAATATTATATAAAAGTAGCTATAATTAAATGTTAACTAATGACTTAAATCATTCATTGGTTATCATGTAGCCAATACATCGAGGTATTATTTCTCGAAATGAACTAAATGCATTAAATCTTCGATAATCTCATATGCGCAGCAAAAAAACATTGTACGTGGTAAAAAAAAAAGATTTTTCAAATGGAAATAAACTTTGTCATAGTGTATTCCGCTACATGTGCGATAACCCGGGCTCTATATATATAAATTCGGCGCTAGCATGCATCTGACGCTAAATCCTGCGAGGCGGGAGAAACAATGGGATTCAGGATAAGCAGCATCAAGAACATGCGCGCGTGCATGCACGCACGCACACCATCACCCTGCGCGCACGCACACGCACCGCAAACGCACCGATAAACTCATACGCACATACACGTACACGCGAACGCTCATACACGCATGCACGCACATACGCACACGTTCCTGCACTCCCCCCCCCCACACACACACACCTACACACACGCACACACACACACACACACACACACACACACACACACACACACACACACACACACACGAACGCGAAAGTTATGTGACATCGACTGACCGTTCCTGGAAGCTGCATGCATGCATGCAGTCACGTACGTATATAATCTCCGCCCAGTTCTCGTTTTGATCGACATTTAATCCTTTTTCTCCGTTTTGACTGCGCCAACATTTACATGACTAGTAATTTCGCACTGATCGCTTTCAGATGAGAATTGATCACGAATCGATTTCTAAAAGTAAACGGCTTGAGACCGCCCGGCTGCTGCCCAGTGGTCGCGAAGCGGTTAAATCTGTTCGGAATGACATGCGAATGCTCTAAGCCGCTTCCAGATCGATCACAATTCAGTAAGGGATGCTCATCTCAGCAGCGACGTATATATATATATATATATATATATATATAAGTGCACGCGTATGCACGCGCTGTGAAGTGGCTGATGATTATGCATAGATGGACCGCGGGCTGCTTATCCCATACCTTCGCTTTACCACTTACCCCGGCTTCGGGTCCGGCTGTACATGTAATCAACCGTCATATCCGAAGGGAATTCAAGGGTGTTATTTATGGGGAGGGAGTTGAGTTCACTGAATAGTACGCGCCCATTGCGACACAACCTGTAAGTAACGACTCTAACTATAACGTCGTGTGCCGCCGGGAAGCTGGGCAGAGGTTAGGTGCTTCTAATTATCACCTACTTCTCTCTGCCGATAGGCGGCGCTGCGAGCCCCACAAATTTACATACGCCCAGTACAAGTGCTGTGATTTACGTAGGTTGCGTAGGTATTATATCTATATATATATATATATATATATATATATAATACTTTAGGATTTAAAATAGAAAATTCAGAATACCATAGAGTTGTGTTCACCTAAATAAATATTATTTTAACATGACCCCATTCACGACGACTTTCAACCGCCTTCCAACTTCTCCTTCAAGCAAAGTACTTATACCCGCATTATGTAACCCCATGCTACCATCTTAACTGTCTCTCTCATCCTAGACATTGTCTGGAGTCTATCGATTAACAGCCTATTGTTAGATGACTAGTAATGCTCAAAATAAATTTTCACTACAAACATCAACACGCCGGCTAGTCTACGAATTAATTATTAAATACGCAGCTCCCGGAAAATCACCACGCTGTGCTGCTATTACCATAAAACTAATTACCCTATTATTCTAGCTTCTAAAAACAACGCGTGTAGAACATATGCTTCAGTACTATGGCTTTTTCTATTACAATTATATCATAACTGAGTTAGCTTTGACTGATTTGGCAAATAAACTATAGCATGACTCATGCTAACTAACTTCATAACTCCTTATACTACTACTCACTAATATGACGTTCATTGTGGGTTAGTCATCATAGAAATATAGCGCTTCCGTTGCAAACGGACCTCATAGGCGAGTGAATTCGCATGTATGCTATAAAGGGCTAGGTGGGTCACGGCCTTCATTAACGCCTCGCAATTATTTACCCTGCTAGAAACGTAAGAGTGAGCTCATTAGTAGTACAAAACTGGCTTCCTGTAAACCGGCAGAGCGTAAATAAAGTTATAGCTCAACCTCACATGTACATGTTCTTCCGCTGTGTTATTATAGAGCGATGCGGAATTCATGTGTGTGTGTGTGTGTGTGTGTGTGTGTGTGTTGTATGTGTGCGTGAGTGTGTGCGTGCGTATGCGTGTGCGTGTGTGTGTGCGTGTATATATGTACCTTTTCGCCGACATATGCGGTCATCTGCCTACAACTGATCAGATCTCAAGCATGTCAATTAACCCGTTTAAAATTGGGATATTGCCGTGGTTAGACAACCTTGCTCAATGCAGAGGCGCATTTGGTAGACAAATCGCTCAGCCAGTCAGACAGAAACCGCAAACGTTCGCCAAACGTCGTCGCGAAAAAAGGGTGCGCGAATACGTCGTCCACGTGAGATCACTCGACGCGACTCTCGCGGTTTCTCGCGAGCGGCCGCCTACCTGTTCAGTCCACCGTCAAGATTCAGAATGCCGATCTCACCGAAGAAGTCTCCTGCGCTCATCTGTCGGAGCAGCGTGCCGTCCTCCCTGTGGCACAGACGAAAAACAACGCGAACAGTAGCAGCGAGAAAGCGCAAAGACCGATCAGTGAAAGCGCAGAGACGATCTCTCTCTCTCTCTCTCTCTCTCTCTCTCTCTCTCTCCCTATCTCTCTCTCCCCTCTCGCTCTCTCTCTCGCGCTCTCTTTTTCTCTCTCTCTAACAAAGGCCTTATTCATTCCTGTCTGTTATCTAGCCGTGAGCAGTGTCGTATTGCCAGCTGATCATGAGGGCGCACGCAGATAATAACGAGAGCGGGGGACGGTGTTCTATTTCTGATTATACTTCGCAATTTTCTCTTCCTCTGCCCGCCGCGTGTCATCATTATGTGGCGATGTGAAGGAATATTAGTTTCGATAACAGGAAAACTCGGGCGCCGACCGTCGAAGTAACTCTGCGTAGCCGACGGCGGCCATGACACAGCGCTCTCGACGTTTGTTGAAGCAACGGTCGTCGGCAACATTCAAGCAAACAAGCACGCAGCCGTTTCTTACAGTCGCACACGTGCTGGCAAGCAGACGAGAGAGAAAGAGGGAGGAAGGAAGAGCGAGAGAGAGAGATATATATATATAGGGGGAGAGTGTGTGCATGTTTGTGACATAGAGAGAGAGAGCGAGAGAGATTGAGAGAGAGAGAGAGAGAGAGAGAGAGAGAGAGAGAAAGAGAGAGAGAGAAGGTGAAGGGTAGAGAGATGGACGACGGCGTTGCCGTATGCACGCACGATAGCCACGCGATCCTAAACACCATTACAGTAACTCCGGGTTTACGTCGTTCACCAAGTTGCGAAAAGTTGCGCGCAGACGGAGAACACGATCCATTTTCTGCAACATCATCCGCACACGTTGCATCTCGCGTCTTTCGAGAGGAAGCCGAGCACGACACACGCCTCGGCAAATATTGGCCGCGACGTGTGTCGGCAACGACTATCGAACCGCATGCGTCGCGCGCGCGTTGATACTAGAGCTGCCGACAGCGAGCGTGCTCTTACGGACATGACGTCGGCCGTAACAGTACGTTTTAACGACGGCTGTTCTCGTTCCGACACATCCATGCAAGCGTACAGCCCGTGTGGCCAACAAGCATCAATCTCGGATTACGTTGAATGTTTACTCAGTATTTATGGCCAACTGCCTATTCGATTTTTCTCGAATTGCAACGTTAACGCGCATGCAGTCGAAGTGGGTTTACTTATTAAAGTGCATTCTACGCTGTAATTTGCTAGTGCGCCGAGGACCAACATGATTGAACACCGAGCATGGAAAGGAAACCGCAAGCCGCCGAAAAGCAAGTGATTTGTTTGCCCAATAAATACAAAGTAAAAGCATCGCTGTAGAACCGTAGACGATAGACAAATAAGAAAAGATGCGGGAACAAGAACATGGTTACGCATAGAGAAGGGGGAGAGAGAGAGAATGAGAGCGAGAGAACTAAGGAGAGAGAGCGAAAGGCCGCGCGCGCCAGAGAGAGAAAACGGATCGAGTCAGATGAGAGCGCGCGGAAGCGAAGTGAAATTATTCTGCGCGAAAGAGAGACAGGAGATGTAGAGGAAGTGAGGCTGATCGAACAGGAAGGAAAGAAAAAAAGAGCGAGAGAAATAGATAAAGCGGTGAGAGAAAGCGAGAGAGAGGGAAAAATCGGGGGAGACAGAGAACAAGATAGCGAGGCGACGGAGAGGAAGCGAGAGAGAGAGAGAGAGAGAGAGAGAGAGAGAATAAGATAGAGAGGTGAGAGGAAGCAAGAGAGAGAGAGAGAGAGAGAGAGAGAGAGGGAGGGAGAGAAAGCGAACAAGATAGAGAGGTGAAAGGAAGCCAGGGAGATTAGCAGAGAGAAAGAGAGTAAGGGAGAAAGCGACACGGGACGACAGGGTGTGTGTGCGTGTGTGTGTGTGTGTGTGTGTGTGTGTGTGTGTGTGTGTGTGTGTGTGTGTGTGTGTGTGCGCGCGCGTGCGCGTGCGCGCGCGTGCGCGTTTGTGTGCAGGGGCGGAAGAGAAAATGCGGAGACAGGTGTAAAGGTTCGGTAGAGGTGGTTAATTAATCTTACCTCAGCTTCGGGGTAATCTCTCATGGCGGCTAGCACATCCTCACGTGACAGCGTGAACAGCTCCGAGTAGCCAACCGATCGCACATCAGCGGAGCGTCTGTCAGCGAAACGCAGAAATCTTACGTCACACATATTAATATCCAACCCAACCCAAACTCTGCTTCCGCGTCTACTCCTATGGTTTACGCGACGAAAACTGCGTTTCGTTTCCACACGCTTGAGTTGGACGCGTTTATTACCCTAGTTGAATTCTTTCTCAGTTTCTAATCGATTCTTCAGCTGAATTCTTTCTCAGTTTTAAACTGATGCCAACTGCATGGTCGATTTAACATGCGTCAAATACGGGAATATTAATCGCCAATCCTCCTCCCATCATATAAAACTAATTTGATGTTCAGAAATAGAGCGTGTTTGTGATGCACGCATGTGCTTCAAATGACGGCTGCATTTTAATTGGCCTCCAGTGTTAACATAACAAGATCTGTTCGAACTGTTTGTAGATTCCTTTTGTAATATTTGCATATATCGGCATGTTAATTCGTGGAATAACATGGAAAGAGGAGGAGCTTTTTTCTATTAATTGATATAATGACTATCCATCATTCGCTCCATGTTTGTTCTCTGCATTAGTCTAAACAGTAAACATACATTACGTAACCGTGGGTGTGCATCGACAATAAAACACTCGGCAAATATATACATTGTAAATATGCCGGAGAAATCAATAATAATCGAACTCATGTTGTTTTCTTTAAATATTGATTTAAAGAAATATTGATTCAAAGAAAATTATAGGGCTCGATGAAGCTTCTTAACATCGTTATTCTACGTCGTTGGATATATATAGTCATGAGAACAGGTAGCTAGGAGGGAGAAAGCGACATAACACGACGACTCGCGTGATCGAGTGCTTCTCCACTGAGGAACAGGCAAGAAATATGCAAGAAAAATGCACGAGAAAACTACTCACGACACTACATAGCTGCGTTAAACCTAGTAGTGCCTACGAACGATGCCATCGGAAAACAAACGAGGGTGAAGTTACGATTCGTAGAGTATTAGCTCTAGCTATTATCTCCGGTGGTGAGCCGCGAGCGTTTCCTCATTTATCCTTCTCGCACTTCGCCTCAGAAAATTGCTTTACGAATTGTGTTTCTTGAAGACACATCGCCAGCGGTTAAACGTCTAAAGGTCCAATGATACCGACCAAAGTTCGAAATTACCTCGAGTAATGATGAGTCCTCATGGCCGTTAAGCAAGTATTAAACCTCGAACTTTTGAGAGTAGCGCCATTTTAACAATAATTCGCGCCGGCTGAGTCTTCGTAACTACATTTCTACCGGGCACTGATTCCAAACTCTCGAGTTAGTAATTGTCGCGCGCATGCGCCGAATAAGCTGAAACGCTGAAACACCCCCACACTTTCGAAATGAGCAGCATATAAGGTTATGTTAATTTTAGCAAAGAATTTGCATAATTATGCTTCTGCAAACGGCTGCAACTCGCGATATGGTCGCAATAGCCAAGGGTGAGCTCGTATCAACCGCGCATGCGCACTGTCAACACTGCATCGGAGTATTGTTTAAAGCCGTAAGTCTTTTTCCCCACTCACACGGCAGCGGTTTGAGTACAGTTCGAGAATCTCTCGGCGCAGTTTTACGCGGTGAATCGTGAAGCTTTCACTTTACAGCATTCTGCAAAGTTAATCTTCACCGATGCCTTCTCTTTACATATTATTTATTATTTATTCTTATCGTGGCCGTCGCGCGCAGCAGCGTCAAAAGAAGCTCAATAGCGAGAATCCAGAATTAGCCTAAATCGTTTTATCGATGCTATAAGCTTAGATGCAGCGTCAGTCATTCTGCAGAGCGCTCGATCATTCTGAATGCAGTTTCTATAGTGTCGCCGCCGAGAGACGCCTTTTCGCGTATGCAGTGCATGAATGTGGGGAGGAGATGCAGGGCCTACGTAGACACAGCTCTGATTTCTTATATTACTGTTTGTTATCACTATTTATTTATTTTTAGTTTTTATTTATATTTGGTTGTTATTAATTTGTTGCTGCTGTTATTTTCGTATTGTTTTGATGATGGCGGTGGCGGCGGCGGCGGTGGCGGCGGCGGCGGCGGTGGTGGTGGTGGTAGTGGTGGTGGCTGTGGTTGTAGTGGTAGCGGGGGCGGCGGTGGTGGCGCATTGCAGAGATTACCTTGACCAATGGTTACCTTGACTTGTGGCTAGTTACTTATACCAAGACCGAGCGGTGTTTAGCTTGACCAACAGTGACCTGTGCTTACCTTGACCAGGAGTAGATGTACCATCTCATAACTCGCTTCTGCATGTCCATCGGTACGGAATGATTCCGCATGTACTGTTTCGCACCATCCTGCCGGTTAAAGCATATATATATATATTCTTATTTCACATTATTAAAATATTATTTAACCGTTATTCAAAATATTATTTTACGCTAGCGAAAGCTTTATACCAATGTTTGCATATGCGTGTACACATATACTTATATAAGGCATTATATCGACAGATCAACAGATTAGTGTCTGGAGGTACGCGTGCATGCGTGCATGTGTATGCGTGCGTGTGTGCGTGGTGCGTATCATTTCTTCTATGTCTTCATCTCTGTATACACTTTGCATAGAAATATGAGCGCGCGCATATACGCCTTAGTGCGGTCATTTTGAACAGACGAGAGAGAGAGAGAGTGATAGAGAAAAGACTAAAGGAGAGGAGGGTATAGGTAGTACGAGAAAAGAGAGAGGGATAGCATAAGAGAGAGAGAAGATTAAAGAGCGAAAGAGAGTGAGAAGGGAGAGAGAGGAAGATCAAGATAGATAGATATTGAGATAGATAGAGAGAGGGATAGAGATGGAGAGCAAAGAGAGAGAGAGGGATAAAGATAGAGAGCAAAAAGAGAGAGAGAGAAAAAGAAAGACAGAGAAAAGGAGAGAAACATAATATATAGAGAGATAGAGAGTGAGACGAATGCGACGCTGAGACGATTTCGCGCGTATATAATACGCTCGTGCAGCGTGCAGCGTCACCTAGCGGTGTGTCGGCGCAACGTGCACGACGCAACCAAGTAGCTAAATATAACAAGGAGAGGAAGCGGATTGGCTGTGCGCTTTTCGCCTCAGGGGCGCCATCTATGGACCATAATCAACTGAAACGGCTGTGCAGACCGAACCCAGAGACAATAGAACACTAATCTGTTCTAGGGTCTCTGTCGAACCCAAATTTGGGCCAGATATGGCGGCGCTTCCTCTCCTTGTTATATTTAGTTCCTTGCACGCAACGAGTGAAGCATCTCTAAGACTAGCGACGCTACATCGTGAGTGATGAGGCGAGCCTACTAGCAAAGCCCTTTCCGAATTAATTAAACCTACGCAGAATGATCAATCTATACGGTGAAATCCGCAGCAAGTGAAAAACTGCGAGCGCACAGTCAGGCGGGGAATTTTTACAAAAAAAAGCAGACGCTTATGGTGACAAGAGTTTGAATAGACATAGTCTCTTGGGAACGCGTCTTTTAATTGGGTGTTGGTCGAGTAATATGGTCCAGACGGATTAGGTTTTTATGAGGAAGAAATTGATGCATTGAAGGTGATGCATTTTTTGCCGTGGTGGGGATATCTTGCGCATCTCTCCCGCCCAGCGAAACTACGCTACTGCGAGTTAGCTCACAGAACGATCGCGCATGGTGGATTGGTCGAGGGGTAGCGACTCGAAAAAATCTCTAGTGTCTCTTAACGAGTCTTACATAGGGCGGTGGACGTTGGGTTAACAGCCGAGAGAGTGGAGAACGTTACAAAAATCTTAGCGCCGAATCAAAGACTTTTTGGGCGAAATATTGCCTTCGAGTCAAGGAATAGAGAACGCAGTAAGTGGTAGCTTTAGCTAAGGTGCAGTGCAAACCTCGACCGCAATCTATAAGCTACTAGTACTGTATTTGTGACTTACCAGTAGACGTTCGAACTCCAGCCGATTTGCGTTACGGTTTGTTATGATGTTTCCTACTTGACCTGCAATTTCAACGCACTGCTTACTATGAACCTATCAATATATCAATCCTCTCTCTGTTATTTTCTCAACCGCTGTCATCTTCTTCTCGCTTTTCATCTTCCGTAGTGCCTTTCTCGCTAAGGTATAAATATAATTGCACTTTTGTGATTAGCCCTCGGTCTGTAACGTGCAAAATAAATGGTCAAATACGTAACTTTTTCGGGGTGGCAGCACGGTCGTGGGTGTCATGGCGCCGTTCAAATTTCGTAGCGTTGATGTGTGATTAATTATAACGATTAAATTAGGTATCTGGTAACAAATACGTGTGGGTATCGACGATTTGTTATACAGTAAGTACAGTTGTATGCAGTAAAATCCTAGAGGCTACGTTCCCTTTAATGTGTTACGTGTAAGCATGATTGTACATGTATTTGTATTGACATCTCAACCATAAAAAAAAAACATGTGCAACAACTAAACTCCATATAACACCTTACACATAACACTACTGTACTGGTAACACATGCATCACAGTTACTAAGCCCGCGCGTAGCGCGGGTTTCAGCTAGTCTTACTATAATTTGGCGAATGTTGTATGTATGTATGTTAATGAAAGGCTTCGTCAGTTTGGATCCAAATAGCGCCAAATTCACAGAAGAGATCGATGAGTAAACGGGACGGGTTCTAAACTATACTCGGTTGAAAACCGTAAAAACGGCTTAAAAATAACAAAAAAACAACAAAAAACGTAAACATTTGCCTGAAAATAGGGGGCGCTGTTTTGTTTTCGTTCTGTGAATTCTGTATTTGTGTTCTGCGTCTGTGTCTGAGATTTTTGTAAGCCCCATAATGTAAGTAGAAATAACCATGTAATAATGAAGTTAAATATTCAGTAGCTATTTGGCCATAGTTTCCCATATGAGATGTACAAGTTGAATTTCATCAGAGCAGATATTTTTTTTGGAAGTCTGCAATGCTGTAGTGTATGGGTGTCGTGAACAGCGAGCTGTCACAAGCGGTCCGATCACAAGCACGTAATATTACGTCGTCCGCACAGAGTGCAAACATGCGTAGAAATAAGCGATCACAACCACGCAATATTACCTGGTCCCGTCCGCACACAGTAGGGCCAACATGCGAAGCACGTAATATTACGTGCTACGCAGCCAAGTGGTTAATCAGTCGCCCGACCTACCAGCGCATTCAGATCTATCTATATTCTAACTTTGGAGTCCGTATCATCAACCAGTAGTTTCTACATAGCATACAATAAAACATTTGTGTGTGTGTGCGTGCGTGCGTGCGTGTGCGTGCGTGCGTGCGTGTCTGTATTTCACTGTGTGCTTGCCAAACAAAGTGTTACGTGTAAGCATGATTGTACATGTATTTGTACTGACATCTCAACCATAGTTGAGTGTAGGCTCGGGGAGGGCTTGGGCAAGAGATCCGATATCCAGCACGGTGTTCCCCGATTGTTTCAGATATACGCAGTACTTAGGGGAGCGCATGTGGTGGAGCATCATAACTAGTAAGATGTCAGTGTCCTCAGCGACCACACACACATGGCTTATCTCAGAGAGCTCCATTGCTTTTCGTACAAAATATGAGTCTGCATCAGCTACACACTGGCTAACGTGGTAGAGCTCCACTTCTAGCCCCTCCATCAACAAGCCAATGAACTTGTGTTTGTTTTTTGGATTCGAGAGCAGCAGCTCCCGCTTACAGTCCACAACATTGTCAACCGCTATGTCTATTTCTAGAGATGATACCGGGCATCTTGTTGTGTGTATCCTTAGTACTGGGTTGCAGCCTGCAGGTATCCATCAAAGATGATGTAAGTGTCTTCGGGATGGGGAAAGTGCTTCTTAACATAGGTGATATAGCACTGCACAACTTCTCCGTAGGTTGTCCCTTTCTCCCACGGCACAGTGTAGAAGAGCAGAGTCCCATCTACTACTATCTTCAGCTTCTCTGGCATCACACCACACACCGTTGTCTGCTTTATAATGCTGCCCAGGTCAGCTTTGGCGACAGTTCTTAGGGTACCGTTATCGTTGCAGATCGAGGGTGGAAAATGGGCAAGATCAAATCCGAATGCTTCCTCTACCTCTTCATCAGTACAGATTAACACCAATCGTTGAAAGATCAGCTCCGAGTCAATCGTAGAACTGACAGTCTACGATTTTTAGATTTTTTAAAGCATAGCTACGGGGCGGTGGGGAAGCAAGCATATACTGTACTGAGTGTACTTTTGCACACTATAGTCTGTATTTTATTATAATAAATCTTATAATAATTCAAGAGTGATATTAAAGTAATATAGAGAGATCTATATAAAATTAGAGCTTAATTGAGCTTAATTGGTCAATTAAGCCTTAACTGTTCAATTTATGAATAAACTGACTTTTGGAATCGACTCCCCGCCCTAAAATGCCCCTATTAACATGTATAAGATGACTATAAAGTGTTTAGGTAAGATTTACAAAATTTTTCTATAATCGCGAAAATCGGAAAAAGGGCGTGGCCCGTCAAAAAGTTTCCGACCAACGAAAATTTTGTAACTTTTTTGGGAGGTTTATATGGACCAATACCAACACATTAGTAAAGAATCCAGCTTGTTTCACTCGATTTCCCGGTAGAGGCCTTATTTGGCACTTTATGACTGGACTATGTATAGCATCATTTGCTGGCTAGCAAGCAAATGTATATATATATATATAGCGAGAGCGATCGAGATGGGCAGATAGATAAATATAAATAGATAGGCAGAGGGGTGAGCGAGCGAAAGGAAGGGAGAGATATACAGACAGGCACACAGACAGACAGAGAGGGAATTGCCAGCCTCTTGACTTAATCAGGAAGCCGTGCCCGCTGACGAGTCTGCATTTATCCGAAGCCCTGCCGTCGTCATGAAGGGGAGGGAGCGCGGACTCTGTCGTGTCTGTGTGCGTTGGCAGCGAATAATGAATGGTGATATCGGAAGCCGCCTTGCCCACTTGCGAGCACCATACAGTTGACAAGAGTTCATTATGCTTGTTTGCACATGGCGACGAATACGTCTAGAGCCTGGCTCGACCGTGTCATAAAAAAAGCCGCGTTCTCATATTGACTACACGACGCGGGAAGGGCTTATTGGCACGGCATTGCTGTGCCTGTGTGTTCTCCTCGGCGCCGACAAAACCTTTAGATTAAATAGCACAAGGAAACACGAAAGCGCGGAAACGAGATGAATGGGAAAGAGAGAGCAATATGTAAGAAAGAAGTGAAGTAAAAAGAAGGGGAGAGATAGAGCGGGTGTGGTGGCATGGAGATAGATAGAGCGAGAGAAGGAACAAGAGAGATTGAGAGTAGGAGAGCAAAAGAAAGGCAGCGACTGCGAAAGAGTAACAGATTGATGGATATAGGGGTCAAAGAGAACTAGCGATAGTCTATGACATATTTTGACATTCATTCCCAAGCTTCCTAATACGACCGTGTATATATAAAGGTAGTCGATGCACACGCTAACAGCTTTATACGTATACGTACCAACGATTGTGGCGAATACAAATACTCCTATGAGGTAGCTGACAATAGTGAAGACGTACCTGCAATAGAGCACAGCGTTGTCGGTGCTGTTAGACAGTGCAATATATGGGAAATACAGACGCTATGACTATTTCTATACAGCTATGACTATTACCTGCTAACGACCGGTGGGTGCTACGCTATCTAATGTCTACGCAGCGTGAGTGAAGCTGCTAACGTGGCGGTGACATAAAGGCCGCATACGCACGCACGCACGCACATGCGCACGCACGCACGCACATGCGCACGCACGCACACGCTCACGCACGCACACACATGCGCACCGACCACGCGACACACTCACGCCGCCGCACAAGCACGAACACATGCCGCCACGCGGCGCGCAGCCACGGCAACACAGGAAACACAGTATCAAAAACACACATCACTAGCGTACCACCACACACACACACACACGACACACACACCACTACAAATCACAGCACACACACACATCACACCGCACGCACGCACACCACACCACACACGTTTCACTTTCATAACCGTGATACTGCGATCGCGGCCAGTGCCGATCTATTTCGAATGCTGTCTCTACCAGTTGCGAGAAAAGGAATCTCTTACTCGCATCTCGTGATCGGCTTTCGATAGAATTCAGACATTCTTATCACTAATGAGCATGCAGTGCTTGTACAACATGCGCGATTGTGTTTATATCTCCTAGCGCCAGCCGACAGCTGTTGTCTCTCTCTCCCACGAGTTCTGTTTGGCTGCCGACGACAATTCGTTTGTCTGCCGACGACAATTCGTTTGGCTGCCGACGACAATTAATTTGATCGCGCGACGAACGACAATACAATTTTTGGCTGCGCTGACACAACAAATTCGTTTGGCTGCCGACCGACAATTTCGTTTGTTCTGGTCCGTTATGAACATTCATTTTTGGCTGCCGACGACAATTCATCTCGCGCCGAGCATAAAACGCGAGAGAGTCCATTATTGTGAGATCTTTTGGCTCCGTATTGATCGGCAAATTTTGACATCGAAATGGCTTTAACACGGCACGATCACATGTCCAATGTGAATGCGCTGCTAGAGAGACAGAGAGAGAGAGAGAGAGAGAGAGAGAGAGAGGAAGAGAGAGAGAGAGAAACGAGAGAGAGAGAGAGAGAGGATGAGAGAGAGAGAGAGAGAGGAGAGGTGAAGAGAGAGAGAGAGAAAGAAAGAGAGAGACGAACGAAGATGAGAGAGAGAGATGAGATCGAGAGACAGAGTAGAGAGAGAGGAAGAGAGAGAAAGAGAGAGAGAACGCGTTCTACCGGGTGTACCGTCTCCTTTTGTTAACAGTTCTGCAACCGGAGCAGCTGCCTTACCGCGTCACTTTACTAGAAACGCCCGCGCTGAAATCCGAATTTGAAGAAGTTGAGCGCTCCGATGTGGCCATGAGATTATGGATGTACGACGTCCGTTCAATATCTGTCTGCTGTGTCTTTCGCGCCTCCGCCTCCTCGGCATGTAATACTCCTATTCCGCAATTTTTCTACAGCAGCTCCATACCGCGAGCGGTCAATCAACAATACGTCAGAAAAGCAGCGTTCCTGTCGTTGATCACGGTTCAATTATTTTAGCACGATATTTTTTGACCGATATGAAACCGGCCGGAAACCTAGTAGACAAACGGACTTTGTAAATTTTGCAATGTGCGCCTTGTATCTGCTATGTAATAGATATCACCCGCTTGAGCAACCGAGCGCCTTGAGATTGAATTTTTCAGCAACGCCTGCATCTTTATATATTGTCACCGAATGTACGCGTCAACACCACTCTCTCCTCTCTCCATTCTCTCTCTCTCTTCTCTCTCCTCTTCTCTCTCTCCTCTCTCATCTCGTCTCTCAATCTCTCTTTCTCATCTCTCTCTCCTCTCTCCCAGTCTCTCTCGTCTCCTCTTCTCTCTCTCCTCAGAGCACCCTTCTCCCCGTTCTCGTCTTCTCCCTCCGCACTCTTCCGTCCCACAGGACATCTACATCAATCTCCCCGTCTCTCCTCTTATATAATAAATATATATAGATAATAGATAGCATATAGTATATAGATAATATATAATGTAGATATAATATAGATAATATATATCCATACGCTGGCGAGACCCGCCGTTAGAGGGCGCGCTACACGTAGCGTAAAACGTGTTTACTATTCCGCGCGTTTGATCCTTTGACATACAGCCGTGACGTAGCCTATCTATCGTCACCCCCAACGTCGACGAATCTCCTCTCTGTGATCGCCGCCGCTAGTACAGCCGCTGTACATGCTTTGCTCGGCGTGACTCACGCGCGTCGCTGTCCCCGCTTTGCTGGGCGGGGCCGCCCCCCCGACGCGCCGCCGCCTTGATGTGCGGTTGACGCCGACCGCCGCGGCGGCGGGGACGTCAGAGCGGCCGATGTTGATATCGCGGTGCGTCACAGGCCGCGTCACCGCCGCAGCGAAGCTTTTAAACCGTAGATGGCGACTGCGAACATGATAAATTATTCTATGACATCCGCACATGGTTCGCGTTTTCTGATTCGCTTGCCCGGTCGCTGCTTTCATTATGGTGACCTCACACCATAGGCGGATCAACGCAGTTGCGTATGTTGAAGCAATTAAAAATAGTGGGTCACAATGAAAGTTCCGAACGAACTCAACACGCAGACTAATAGGTTTTAGTATGTTTGATAGTAACGCAACAAGCACCGCAGGGGATGCGCAGACACACGAGACAGAGAGTTCAAATAATTTTGGACATGTTCAACTAATTCTCTACGGAATGCGCTGCGCATCATTATACGCAACAAGGGACGCAACAGGTACCTACGCACGGTAAACACGATCGCAACACGATCGCATACAGGTACACTCATAAGTTATGTCAACGCAGAGTGATCGGCAGGTCCAAATTTTAGGTATTGTCCCAGGTATTTTGGGGTGAGGGACATGTTGCGAATGGTGTTGCGTATCTGTTGCGATCATGTTGCGATCGTGTTTGCGTGACCCTGTTTCGAGTCTTGTTTCGTGTCGTAGCGTACCCCAACCTATTGTCCGCGGTATTCCAGCGTATCCCCACCTATGCCCTGCGTATCCAACTAGTTAGTTGCGTGTAAGTTGCGTGTTAGTGCGTACTACATGCGTGTTGCAGAAATGGTATAAATAGTGGGCCTTTCTAGATTCGGCTGTCAGTTGTTGTGGAACCTCCGAGGTGACACACATAGAGCTACATCTGTGTTACTTGGACATCAATTTAATACTGGTCAATTTAGCACTACTCCAAACACATAACAGAAAGAATAAAGACAAAAGGGGAGAAGAAGACGAAGAAGAAGAAGAAAAGAACGAAGAAGAAGAAAGAAGAAGAAGAAGAAGAAGTGTGGGTTTTTAGACAGATTTTTATAATATATATGTATTAATCATATATATTACTATAGGTTAATATACAGGTTTTTACCACGTGACCAGAATATTCGCAACTAGCACGAATACCTAGCACGGCAGGTCCATCACGCAACTTGTAAGTTTTGAACGCACCTCAAACGCAACTTCGTAAGTTTCTGCACGCAATCACAACGCACTCGCCAGCAACTCGTAACAGCAGGGGATCGCAGATATTGGGGGGATCATAAGTCAGTTCGCAAGACCCACAGCAACACACACGCAAACCCACACGCAAGCCCACACGAACCCACACGGCAACTCGGTAATCGCACCCTAGGTCAAGTAGGATTAGGGAATTGAAAATAGTTGATTTGGTGTGCGTTTGGTCGTAAAAATATTTTTACACGCAACTCATAAGGTTTCAGCATAGCTATGGTGTGAGCGCACCCATTAACATTTACACTAATATTTCTATGTATGAATACGCCAACATAAAGGCAACATTCTCATGCTGAATTGAGTTGAATGATCGTCGGATATTCGTCGCGGCTTCTCGCTGCGAAAAAGATATTGGTGATAGGGCTTATTGAGGGCTCTTGTCGGGATCAAGTACGCAGACTGGTACCGGTCGCACCTCTCCGCTTAGGCCCACCGCCCACCTTCTCGGGCTCACCCCATCGAGTAATCGAGGTGGAGAGCGAGTACTCAGCTCTACAAGTACGCAATAGTTGTCGGCGCGAGACAGCATCGCACAATTCTCCTGGTCGACACACCCGCGTCACTCATTAAGTAAGATAACAACTATTAAGAAACGTCATTAAGTAATGATACCACTAATTAAGTAGCGTCATTAAGTAACGATAACTCGATGTCGTCTGGTAGTATATTTTGGGATTGGGGGGTTGCACTAACTCTATGTCGCCTGGTAGGAGATATAGGTGTTTTAGGGGTGGGGTGGGCGAGTGGGGGGAGGGCAGAGAAACCTGCTGTAAGATGTCACGTCCCGTTGGTTTTGTCCGTGACAGTGACAATATATGGCTGCTCGTCCGTCAGTTTTGTCTATTCGTCTATTTTTTGTTATTTTTTTCTCTAATTTCGTCTGTGTTTTATCTATTCGTCTATTTTTGTCTATTTTTCTCTATTTTCGTCTGTGTTTTGTCTATTCGTCTATTTTTGTCTATTTTTCTCTATTTTCGTCTGTGTTTTGTCTATTCGTCCAGCTCTGTATGTGAAACCGTCACGTAAACAAAATAATACGACCGACTACGGTAACATAATATACACGTGAAAGGCACGGAAGATCGGCCAACGTGGTGAAATCACCGTCGCATTCTGTCGTCCGCCGTTCACACGAAACGCATGCGACAAGCATTCGACAATCATCACGACAGAATCAGATCACACGCATGCACTATAACCGCATTCGTGTATATATAGATAACCAAAGACGAATTCACGACGGCGTCTACGGACGAGTGGCCACGCGCATGCGCACTGCAGCTACGTGTGCGATAATAAGAAGCGTACGTGGCCAGTAATATCAGACACACATACATACTCACATGCCGTCACTGTTACCCGGCAACCTCTCCCATTTCCTAAACAAAAAGAGCCAAACAAAACTATTAGCTCGTGAAGTGCGTGAAATGATAGTGACAGGTGTGACTAGAATGAAACACACGTGTATATATATATACATGTATATATACTATATACATTATATATATATATATATATATAATATATATATATATATATACTATATATATAAGGACAATCTAGTGATGAGCAGATTGAAATGTGAATAGCAAATCGTAACTGTTCGACATGCACATGTGAGATCAGTGACGCGCTCCTGCTGCCTCCCTATGAACTCGGTATATCGATAAGATCAACCGCGTTACATGTGCACAGGGCGGTATCGTCACCACGCAGTATATGCAATGCACGGCAGGTAATATACTGGCACCACGGTGTAACATGTCAACACACATACAAATCATCATACAGGCGTTACATGCTAGGTAGGTCAATAAACGCATGCAAAGTTGTGCGTACTATTTGACAGTAGGTGCTGCGCTTCTTGAGTTGCTGCTCAGCTTCTATCGCTGCAGAGCTGGTCAACACGCCTGCTTTGTAGTTTTTTATCCGCGTCCGTGTGGGAGAGGTATAACACCTCAGGCATCGACGCACACTCACCCTGAAACGCCGCATGCTCGGGTGTTGAAGAGAATGTTGTAAGAGATGATAAAGAAAATATTTATTTTTATATTTCTGTTGTATCGTAGGGCTGCGGGCTAATTAGGGCTTTGCGACTAATTGTCTAAATATTCTAACCTAGGCAAGTTATTGTTTTATTGTAATGTAACCAGCCGCGCGCACCCTAACCCCATAGACCCAGACGGTGATTGCCGGGGGTCGATGGAAATGTCGCCGGCGGTTTTCGAAAAGATATAAATAG